ACGAGGCGGGTTCAGCCACGACGTGAACTCTGGAGAAGGCGATGATATTAGGGGGAAGCCAAACCTACCTCGCTTCTCACCACCCTCGCTTCCAAGAGATACCAAGCGATGCCAAACTACGACCTGTACTGGTCAGGCCGCTTGACGAGGAGGCGCGTGGTATGACTTGGTTTTGCCTGGAAGCGAAAGCGGGGTAGGTAATTCACGCTCTGAGATATGGAGGCGGGTTCACCCGGAGGCCATTCACAGCTGAAGGGGCCCTGGGACACACAAATAAATACACACAAATAAGAATATTCCCCATCTTTTTTCATATTTTCTGGGTTTTTGTCTTCCCCCCCACTTCCCATATTTTCCCATGTTTTCTGGGGAATCGACGATTCATTGTGTCTGTGTGTTTTCTTCCCTCCCGAACAGCGCCCTCCGCGAGCCCTCTGCGCTCCGAGCCCGGATCCGTTTGCCGGGGTGCGAGGCGACCAACTCCTTCCCTTTCACCAAGGTCAAGTCGGGCCTGTCCCTAGAGGCCTCCTAGATGGGGTCCGAGTAGATGGGGTCGAAGGGTCGCGCCGCATCGCCAATGCATCGGCGATGCATCGGCGATGCATCAGCGACGTCGGCGTGGGGAAACACAGTCTCCACATCGAGCCGCATCGCCAATGCATCGCCGATGCATCGCCGATGCATCGGCGATGCGGTGCGAGCCTCCGACCCCATCTACTCCGACCCCATCTGGTAGGCCTAGAGTCCTCCTACGAGGGGATTTTGGACGAAAAATATAAAAAAAAATTGCAAAGACAAAAAAAACCTAAAATGTGTTCAAACATGGTTTTAATAACAACAAAAAGTGCCCCCAGAGAGTTTCAAACAAAAACTACAACCTGAGCTTCAGCTCTGCTGGGGAGGGGCCGGGGGGGCTCTGCCGGGGTAGGAGAGGGGAGGGGGGGGGTCATGGGATTCACCCTTTCCTTCCCCCCCCCCCGGGAATCCCAAACCACCCCAAGACGGGTCAAAAGGGGCCCAGGAGGCCACCAAGACGGTCCAGGAGGCGCCCGAAACGGCCCAAGAGCGCTCCTGGACGCCCAAGATGGCCTGAAGACGGCCCAAGAGGCCTCCAAGACGCCTCAAGGAGATCCCAAGAGGATCCCCAAGAGGGCCCCAAGAGGGTACAATGAAAAAATAGCTAACAAGTTTTGAAGCATTTTAACAATATCGCCTTTTCCGTCTTTGAAGCGCCGAAGACGGTCCAAGAGGCCCCCAAGATCACCCCAAGACAGCCCAAGAGGCCCCCAAGAGGAGCCAAGACGGTCCAAGAGGGCCCCAATATAACCCTGGAGGCCCCCCAAGACGACCCCGAGAGGTCCCCAAGATGGCCTCAAGAGGGTGAATCCGAACGGACCCTTCTAGTCTTCCACCCCAAGATGACTCCAAGAGCCCCCAAGGGGCCCCCGAGGCGCCCCCAAGGGGCCCCCAGAGGCCCCCAAGAGGTCCCAAAGAGGCCGCCAAGAGGACCCCGAGAGGCCCCCAAGAGGCCCCAAAGGCCCCCAAGAAGCCCTAAGAACCAAGAGGCCCCAAGAGGCGCTCACTCGCGTGCTGCCAGGCCAGAGGTGCACGGCTTAACAACAAGGGCGGCAAGCAAGGTGGCCTGGACACCCTGGACCTCTTCACCCTGGTCGTGGAGAACCTCATGTGGGATACGATTCAGTCGTGGACGCAGCGGGGCTGGGGGTGTTCGTTGACGCATGGTCGCCCCATGTTTCATTTCATTAGGTGCGATAACCTTTGGCTTTGGTCGGATTCCCGCGCAACCCCGGAGGCCGTGATCACAGAGACCACGACCGCGATCTATGCCGGCGGTTTCAGCTGGAAGAACACGTCGCTGGAAGTCATGGGAGGCGGGGACGCCACTCGCGACGATCTGTACCACATTGCCTGCCTAGGGCGACACAGTTAAATGCCGTTCAAAGCAGAGGACCACATGGTTGTCCTTGGCGAGCTGATCGACCGATCCGGCTGCACAGCGAAGAGCATCGACTGCAGGCTGAGCGAAGCTGAAGGCAACTTTGGGGAAAATTCGCACGCATTTCGAGGTCCCAGTTTGGTGAACGAGCGAGAAGCTGGAAGCACGGCGCAACGGACCCCGAGCGTCCGCAGTGCACGGAGCATGCACTTGGCACCTCACCAGCGACCTCCGACACAAGTTTTGGTCTTGGGAGCTCGAATGGTTGAGACGGGAACTTCGATTGCGCAGCAAGCCAGACGAACAGAATGCTGATAATTCACAACGCGCTGCCATCAGCGTCCTCCAGGTCATGGCTGCGCACAGTTACAAACCCATCCCCGCCGCAGTCTTCGAGGCGTAGTTCGTTGAGACTCTCTTTGGAGGCCTGGAAATGGGCACCAACACCAACACAGGGGGGGTGCCTCCACAGGGGGAAGACGATCCTAGATCTCGGTGTTGGTGGTAATATGTCGGCCACCTTGGAAGCCAGAATATTACCACCATCGCCGAGATCGGGATCTCCTTCCCTCGGTGGAGGCACCCCGCCGAAATCGGTGTTGGTAACAACCTCCAGGCCTGCGATCTGGGAACGTGGACATCGCCGCCATTACTGGGAAGGCGCAGCCGGGCGTGCTCGTGCCTACCGCGCGCGGGACCTGGAGATGCTGGTGCGGGAAGCCCTGGCCAAGCGAAGGCGGACTGAAGGGCCCTTGCAACGTCCTGGTGGTCACCGATCAGCGCGGGAGGACGCGATTGCAAATCACCTTGGAGAAGCGTGGCGAAGACAACGGGATGCTCTATAACACGGGTCGAGTGGATGCGTCGGACTGGCCCTTTCGTAACGCATATTTCTGCTCGCTAGCACTTGCCATTGCACGAGGCTCGGGATGAACCTCCGCGCCAGCGGCCGAGAACCGAATAGTCGCAGAAGGAACGGCTGATTTTCCGCGCCCCCGAACCTGAGGTTGACGAGTTCCAGGACACAGTGGCAAAGAGCGTAAACTGGGCTTCGTCACGTAGATGTTTTCTGTACGTGACTGATCCCTCATGCTTACAACAAGTAGTATGCGTTCACACGAAGATCCACGATCCAACATAGGAGCCTCATATTTCTCGTATCTTGTATAGGATCGTAACCCATATGTGCAATGGTTGGAGTTCTCCTGAAGTAGTTGCAAACCCGGTTCGCTGGTACAGGAGGACACAAGCGACTGGTTGACGGGCTGGCGGATTTGACCATGGACAAACGGACATCGTGGAGCTGGCGCTACTTCCCCGTTGTCCAGACAGACGGAGGGCTTCGCGACGATGATTGCGCCGCTGCAGCTTGGATCGCCAGTCTGTGGTGTGAGGCCGCTGGAGAATTTATTTTCGAGCCGCTCGTTGTGCACGGAACGTTAGACGAAGCATCACGTGAGTACTCAACCATCTGACTGTTCGAACTCAACGTGCCAGAAAGCTGAAATCTAGGTTTCCTGAGCTTCATGACAGAAAGGGAAAAGTGAAGGGCCTTCTCAGACGGCTCGGAAGTCCCCCAGCCTTCCGAGAAGTTTTATGAGCCCTCCCCGAAGACACAGAAGCTTCACAGAAGGCGCGAGTGTTTCTGAGAAGGCCCGCCGCCTTCTGAGAAAGCCTTCTCCCACTTACTTCCCCCTATCGCGCGCCGCCGTCTGAAAGCATGCCAAAGATGCCTTGACTCGAGGGATGCACGGGTCCCTGCCGTAAAAACTCATCCTTCAGCACTGGCTTTGCCTGCGCACGCCCACATTAACTACCTCCTGGACTAGAGGCGTCCCAAATTCGAGTGCGGGATCGACTACAAACTCGATTTACCCCACAATTGAGTTTCTCGCCGAACGCACAAACAAAACTTATAGGGTTCGATCCCCCACTCGACAAATGGAGTTGGGGTTGATGGGGTCGGGGGATCGCGCCGCATTGTCGACGCTTCGGCGAAACACCGGCGAAGCATCGGCGTTGTCGGCGTGGAGAAAATCAGGCTCGACATGGAGCCGACGCCGATGCGTCGGGGATGCGGCGATGCGACTCTTGTTTTAAGACCTGCTCGGACTCTGTGTGGGAGGTTTAAAACTTACCTCCTGTACGGAAGTGCCTACCTGAGACCCAGACTCCCATCAGGCACTGGCAGAACTAGGATCGGTGGGACCCCATTCGGTGACGCGTACCAGGGAACGACCCCCACGCACGAAGAAGAACCAGCTACGGTAGACCTGGCTTACCCATCGGTCGGAAGCAAGCAGAAACATGAAGTAGGAAGGCGTTGAAAAAAGATTCAGTGTCCGTCCGCCCCCTAAAAAGGACGTTAAAGGTGAAGCCACTCGATCACTAAAGTAGGAAGGCGCTCAAAAAAGATTGGAATCTGGGACTTCCGAAATACCTACTTTTAACGACCGATGGGTAGTGAATCCGGTCCAAATTTTAGGCTTCGGGGCCCAATCACTAACACTGGTCGGGGTTCTGATGACCCGGGTCAATCCAGACCCGGGTCAGTCAGGCCTTGCAGAATCCTGCAACATTCTGCGCCCAAACCCAGGTTAGTGCCAAGGATCCTGCAAAATTCTGCAGGATCCTGCGCCCAAACCCGGGTCAGTGCGACGCTGGCCCTGCAGGATCCGGCAAGATCGGTCGCTCTGGCTGACCCCTGTTCGCATTGACCCCCGTCTCAAGGCTCTCGACGAAGACCGCACCGGCAGGATCGGGGACGCGCGCTCGTCGAGAATCGTCGGCAAACCCGATATTCGGCTTACTCTTGCTCGAGTCTTGCGTTTCCCCGACACGAGGGTGCACGGTTTCCCGTTTCCCCCAGGGCCGTGGGCGACCCGAGGAGGAGGAGGAGGGAGAGGAGGAGGAGGAGGAGGAGGAGGAGGAGGAGGAGGAAGCTGACCCCCGTCTCAAGGCTCCCGAACTGGCTCCCCTCCACCTGGGTCCCGGCCATACCCGTCCCCGGGCGGCCGCGGCACCGGGCGGGGGAGAGGCGGGCCTGCAGGAGCGCCACGACCTCGCCCATCGGTGGCCTCCCCTCTCCCCGCCCCTGCGCTTGTGCCGTCCCCTCGCTCGCCCGTTGGACGGCATCCTCCACACCTTCTCTCGACCCCAGACCCTCCTCCCCCTGCCTCGGCGCGCAGCCCTGGAGACGCTGAGTCGTGGCGGTCGTGTGGTAGCAGCATGCAAGAAGGAACAAAAGAGAGAGCGATGGAGGCACTTCTGGCCTTCTCCCGGCACTCCTGCCACTCTCTGCCTCCTCCTCCTCCTCCTCCTCCTCCTCCTCCTCCTCCTCCTCCTTCTCCTCCTCCTCCTCCTCCTTCTCCGCCTCCTCCTCCTTCTCTTCCTCCGACCCACCCGCCCACCTCCCTCCCCCTGGTCCCTCCGTGCTCCGTCCGCCCGCCTTCCCTCCAAGCTCTTGCCTGCCCTCCTCCGTCCTTCCTGGTTCCCTCCCTCCCCCCCGCCTCCAGTCTCCCCGCTTTTCCCTCTCTTCACACCTGCAGCCTGCCCTCCTCCATCCTCCGCCCCTCCCTGGTCCCTCCTCCCGCCTCTTCTGCCTGCGCCTCCTCTCGCTGTCTTCTCGCTAGGTGACATGGGTGTCATACTGTGTCCTCTCGCACTGTCTCCTACATCATCATGCCCCCCCTCTCCTCCCCGGCCTCCTCCTCCTTTTTCACTTTATTATTCTTCTTCCCCTCCTCCTCGTTCTCCTCCTGCTTCCTTCTGACTAACTCCTCCCTGTCGCACCCTGAAGCCAGTCGGAAGGGCGGGCTGGGCGTTTCGCCTGAGCTTTCTTACCACTTAAGTATGAGCCTCAAGCTGGTAAACTGGCCACAGTTTCACAGACGGAGGGCGGGTCGCTTCCAATGTTTACTCTCGCCGAAGCGCCAAGCGCAACGTTTCACAATTTTGCAACGCGAGCTTATTGGATTGAAGGCGCGTCGTGTTCATCATGTGGCTCTCGCCTTAACGCCGAGAATCTGGGGTGCATATTTAAATATATGCCTGTACATACATACGTATATATTGATGTACACACATACATACTTACATACATATATATATATAAATATATTTACTCACATATACATATATAATCAAGAATTTCCAGGATTGAAGGCGGGTCGTTTCAGAGTGTGGCTCTCGCCGTGGCACCGCGGACATTCGACCTTAAACTTTGCAAGCACTCCACGGGGTAGGAGCGGCCCCTTCCGAGACGTGGCTCTCGCAGTCGCGCCGCGTGCAGGAGCGTCAGACCTTCGCACCACCGCCTCGCGGACCGAGGGCGGCTCCTCTTGTCAACCTGTGGCTCTCGCCTGAGCGCCGCGTGCGCACGCATTCGATGCAAAACGTTGCCAGGAGCCTGTTTTCTTTTAGACTCTGGCAAGTTTACTTGCATGGACAGGGGGGGGGCCTGAAGCAAGCCCGGGGGGGGGGGGGGGGGGGGGGGGGGGGGCGCGGAAATCGCGCAAGCCGAAAGGCACTTGCACGCTAGTATTCGCTTGAAGAGGGGGGGGGGGGGGGGGTGGGGGGGGGGGGGGGGGGGGGGGGGGGGGGGGGGGGGGCGAACGCCATGCAAGTAAACTTGCCTGAATGAAAAAAAACAGGCTCTAGGGTCTTGCCAGGGTCTCACGGATTCTCATGGCTAACGTATCGGACATGGTGTTGCCGAGCGCTTCGAGATTGCCAGGGCGCCACAGCTGCGCTGCTTCGCGGCGCCGAAGCCCCAGGAGCGGTGTTCTGGCCGGGTTCAAGATCACCAAGGCGCAACAGTCAGGTTAACTCGAGGCGTTGAAAGGCTGAGAATGGTGTGTTGGCACGCTTCAGGATTTTCACACGGTCGCCCCCCAACGGGACACTTACCCCTGTGAATATGAATCCGTGTAGGGGCCTATGAAGAGGGAGCTTAGAGGAAGGGTGTAGTCCAGCATCCTCCTCCTCCTCATCCTCACCATCAGCATCCGCATCAGCAGCATCATCAACACCGCCATTGCAGTCCTCTTCGTCATCCTCGCCCTCCTGCTCCAACTGCCCATCCTGCCCCTCCACAATCCTTATCCGCATGTCGCCTGCCACGTGCTGCCTGCCTCTTGACTCCTCGATCTCCCATGTTCCTTTCCCCTGTCTCCCTTTCCCGTCCCCTCCGTCCGCCTCATTCAACACTCTCCTTGGGCACAGATCCTGACATGAACTAGCCAACATTGCAGGCCGTGCGTTCCGCTTGAGACTTCAACTCAGTTTCCTCCCCCGCACGAATTGCACGTCGAGGTGTGTTAGAATGCGCGGGACCTGTCCAGTCGGGTTCCTACAGTCCCACCAGTGTTCTCGGAGTAAGCGGCTTAGAGCGCTTCCTCGTCCAACCCACGTCCTCCCCCTCGAGGAGTTTTACCACTCTTAGCTTTAACAAGCACACCCTACCACACTAGACCAGCCCCCGTCTAGACGCCCCAAGACAGGTGGCACGGGCCCAAGACAGGTCAAAGACTGCCCAAACCCCGGCGAGGCTCCAAAGCATCCAGAAGTCGCGCGAGGAACTCTCGAGCAATATCCCGCGAGGCAAAACACATGCTTTCTCAGTTGGGCTTGCCAAGGGAATTGCTTGCATCAGTGTAGTGTAACAGCTCCTTCGCGCACAGCTGCGAAATTGAAACTCAAGATGCATACTGACATGGGAACCATTGAAACATCAACACAATCAATGTCCTGGGGCGGCGCGTGTGAACCTAGATTCCATGAATCATTGCGGTGACCCGCAATCTAAGTATCCCTCCCCCTCATCCTCACCCTCCTCCTGCTCCTGCTCGCGTCTCTCCGTCTCTCCTCCGAGGTATCCCACTGCACCCCCTGATCCTGATGTGATGGTGGTCCTCTTCGCGCCCCGTCCAACGCCACTTCCTCTCCATCCTCTGTCGTTCTGCTTCTCCCCGTCTGGGTCGCCGCCCTGAGAAAGTGCAGCACCTACACAACCGGCATCGGACTGTAAAACGCCTCCAAGACTCTCGGACAGAAGAGCGCAGCACATCCAACGAGCTTCTGTCAGAAGTCTGCAGAAGGCCACATTTCGCTCAGATTGGAAAGCCACAGCGCCCGAGCGTTACCCAGACAAGGGGGAAAGACGTGCTCCAACCATTGCAGAGGCCACTTGCGCAGACTGGACTACTGACAGCACGGAGCGCACTTCCTGGTTGGAGCCCAGAAACTTCCCACCAACAACAGCACTGCGCCCGACAAGTGATGCCTCGAGCGGTATTCCCTTGTTCGTGGTTGTCCCCGTCCCCCTCATCCTCACCCTGGGGGAATCAAAAGATAACGATACCGCTACTCCCTGGACCCCTCCTGGGTCGCTCCCTGACCAGAATTTCGGGGTGAACCCAGCGGTGGCGACGTGGGCCTCGCGGAAGGCGAACAAAAGGCGAAAACGATGAAAGGTCGGCGGCATCGGTACCTGCTCCTCCTCTGAAGAAGCTGCCCCTGCCCGCAGAGAGCAGACCCGAGGGGACCGCGTGGTGCGGTCCGCCGTCCAACAAGACCTCGGCTGCACGTAAGAGTGACTCTGGGCAAGAGTGACCTTTGGTGCGCGGCATTTTGGGGGGCGCGGGGAGGCCAAACACAAGCGCGCAAGACGCCACTATCGCACCGGCGCGGCGATCGGAGGACCCCAGTGAGCGCGCACCAAAGGTCACTCCAGCGAAGGGTCACTCTTACGCGTATCGGGAGCGGCCAAGAGGGGGGTGTCCAAGAGGGGGGGGTGCAAATCATGACCGGCGGCACGTGCGCGGCCCAGCGGGGGGGCCATGGACGTAATGAAATAAGAAGAGGCGCCATGATATCTGGGAAATATCATGGCCCCCGCCATGCTATCCCCCCCCCCCTATTGGGCGCCCGAGTTATCCGGGGTAACTCGGGTCCGGGGTAACTCGGGTTCGGGTTCCCGAAAAAGCGAACCCGAGTTATCCCTGACCCGAGTTACCCCTGATGATTCGGGGCTCTGGGCGCCCGAGTTATCCGGGGTAACTCGGGTCCGGGATAACTCGGGTTCGGAATCCCGAAAAACGAACCCGAGTTAGCCCTGACCCGAGTTACCCCTGATGATTCGGGGCTCTGAAATCATGACCGGCGGCATGTGCGCGGCCCAGCGGGGGGGCCATGGACGTACTGAAATAAGACGAGGCGCCATGATATCTGGGAAATATCATGGCCCCCGCCATGATATCCACCCACCCACTCGTAAAGAGTATATCTAAAGCGACTCGCGATGATGTCAATTTGAGCGCGCCAGAAACGTCATCATTAACCCTCCCCTCGTCAGATCATAGTGGAACCCCCCTCCTTGCCGCCCCCGAGTGTAGCCGAAAGACCGCATGATCGCGTGCAGGTCCGAGGGGGCCGACGCCGGCATCTGCAGCATCTGCCCGCGGCAGACCTGCGGGAACGCACGGGCGGGACTCGCGCCGAGCGGCCCGAGGCTGCCCGCGCTCCTCCTCCTCCTCCTCCTCCTCCTCCTCCTCCTCCTCCTCCTCCTCCTCCCCCCTCCTCCTCCTCCTCCCCTCCTCCTCCCTTCCTCCCCCTCCTCCTCCTCCTCCTCCTTCTCCCTTCCTCCTCCTCCTCCTCCTCCTCCTCCTCCTCCTCATGATGCTGCTGCTGCTGCTGCTGCTCCTCTTCCTCCTCCTCCTCCTGCTCCTGATCCTGCTCCTCCTCCTCCTCCTGTTTCTCCTGCTCCTGCTCCAGAAGGGGGCTGCCTCATCGCAAAGATGTCGAGAAAAGGTCTAGGAGCCAGAAGGGTCTGGGGAGCCAGAAAGGGGCCGCGGGTCAGCGCGGCGCGGCCGCCGCGGGTCCACGCCGCGCGGCGAGGGTCTGGGCACGAAGCCCTGGGCCCTGGGCCCCGACTGGGACTGCGTCTCGAACGGAATCCACGAACTTATCCTCCTTCCCCTCATCCCCCTCCCACCTCCTCGACCACGCCCGCCTCCTCCTCCTCCTCCTCCTCCTCCTCCTCCACCTCCACCTCTACCTCCTGTTCCTGCTCCTCCTCCTCCTCTTCCTCCTCATCCTCCTCCTCCTCCGCGTCCTCCTCCTCCTGCTCCTCCTCCGCCTCCTCCTCCTACTCCTCCTCCTCGACCATGTCCGCCTCCACATCCTCCTCGTCCACCTCTTCCTCCTCCACCCCCACCTCCCCCCTCCACCTCCACCTCCCCCTCCTCCACCTCCCCTTCTTCCTCCACCTCCCCCACCTCCTCCACCTCCTCCTCCCTCCTCGCCACGCTTGTCTTCCGTGCCGTCTTCGTCCCAAGTTTCCGCTCCGGGCTGCGGACGCCTCCGCTGCTGGCCCGCTTATCCCGCACATCCCTGCCCCTATCTCGCCCCAGCCTGCCACAGTCCCCCTCGTAATCCTCCGTCTCCTCCTCGTCCCTCTCCCGCGTCCACCGTCAAATGTAGTCCTTCCTCCTCCCTCCTCGGCACTCCTCAACCATCTCCTTCTTCGTTTCCTCCTCCACCTCCTCCTTCTCCTTCTCCTCCCCATCGTCATCATCATCATCATCATCATCATCATCATCATCATCATCATCATCATCATCATCATTATCATCATCATCATCATCATCATCACCATCATCATCATCATCATCATCATCATCACCATCATCATCATCATCATCAGCATCAGTATCAGCATCAGCATCAGCATCATCATCATCATCAGCATCATCATCATCAGCAGCATCATCATCAGCATCATCATCATCATCATCCGTAGCAGCATGATCATCATCGTAATTAGCATAATCACCAGCATCATCATCATCATCAGCATCATCACCATCATCATGACCATCACCATCACCATCACCAGCATCATCATCATAAGCAGCAGCAGCATCATCATTAGCATCACCATCATTACCATCATCATCATCAGAATCGTCATCATAATCAGCATCATCACCATCATAAGCAACATCAGTATCAATATCAGCATCAGCATCATCATCACCGCAATCAGAATCCGAAGGAGCAGTGTCACCATCATCATCATCATCATCGGCAGCCTCAGCAACAAAACCATCATCAGCATCATCGTCGCCGTCGTAGTCAGCGTCACTTGTATCATCACCAGCATCATCACCATCAGTATCATCATCTGCATCATCACCAGCATCATCAGACTCATCATCACCATCAGCATCAGCATCATCAGCATCATCAACATCACCAGCATCGTCTACACCATCAGCATAACAATACTCATTGGCATCGTCAATCTCATCAGTATCATCATCATGATCATTAGCGTCGTCGTCGTAATCGTCATCGTCATGTCCTCAACATCGGGATCAGGATACGCATCGTCATCGCCAGCCTTGCCCTTACCCGCATCATCATCCCCATCCCTATCCTCATCCTCCTCGTCTTCATCATCAGCATCAATATCAACGTCATCAGCACTGGCACACTCATCATCGTCGTCGGCATCATCATCATCATTATCACCAACACCGCCATCACCATCATCAGCATCTTCGTCATCATCATCATCACGATTATCATAATATTGATCACCAACATCATCATTAGCATCGTCATCATCCGCATCATCATCATCATCATCATCATCATCATCATCACCATCATCACCAAATCAGCCAACGTTGGCCCCAAAAAGATCAGACGACTCGAATCACGGAATCCGAAGGATAGAGCATGCTTGAATTCCGCAACTCAGCAAGCAAGCAAGCGTACACGCAAGCGCGCAAGCAAGCACGCAAGCGTACACGCGCGCAAGCAAGCAAGCAAACAAGCAAGCAAGCAAGCATACATACGGGGGTTGGGGGGGCGTTTGAAGAAGGGGGGGGCTAGGCATACGCATAGGCATAACAGGAATTGAGGGGGGGCATAGGAATTAGGAGGGGGCAACGGACCATTTAGTAGGGTTTGAGCTAGGATTCCTATAAGGCAAGCCTATGTGGAGAATTACCATGGCCATCATCAGTATCGTCAAATTGCCACCATCATAAATATGAGCATCGTCAACGTCATCACCATCGTCATCGTGATCATCGTCATCATCATCCTCATCATCATGCTCATACGCATCATCGTCACCATCACCATCGCCATCAACTTCATCATCATCATCATCATCATCATCACCATCAACATCAACTTCGTCATCATCCGCATCATAATCGACCTCATCCGCATCATCATCCTCGTGCCCGCCACCACGATCAAACTCAACCGCACAATCATCAACACCTCATCCTCATCATCATCCCCATCCCTATCCGCGTCCTCACCCCCATCCCCACCCCCGTCCTCATCTTTGCCGTACACCCTGCGACATGCTTTAGGAATCATGGGTTAAGAAATTCATAGTCTCAGAATCTGAACGAAAACCCATAATGTCTATTCAAATCTTGGGATTTACATTGAAACATTAAGAAAATCGAAACTCTGGCCGAAAACTTGGGTTTTCTTAAGTATCGCCTAGAGTGTACTTCCCCTGGGGCTAGGACCCCTCGCAACAGCAGGCTATCGGATCCGCGCTCCCGAGGCCGCGCGCGCCCGCGGTCGAGGCCATGACCCCTGCACCGAACACACGATGGAGCGGCGCCTTCCAGGAGGCAGCCCTCGTGGGACAATCGCGAGATCGATAGCGAGGTCGATCGTGAACTTGATAGTTAGATCGGTTGTGGGATCGATCGTGCGATCGATCGCGAGATCGATCGTGGGATCGATAGTAAGGGGGGTGGTGACATCGATTGTGAGATCGACAACGAGCTGGATCGCGAGATCGATAGTGAGACCGATACTGGGACCGATTGTGATATCGATTGTGTGCTTGTGAGGTAGATGACGAGATCGATTGCGAGTTCGATTGTGAGAGAGACAGTATCGATAGCGAGATCGATAGCGAGATTGACTGTGAGATAGATCGTGAGATCGGTGGTAAGACCGATCGAGGGAGATCGATAGTGAGATCGCTAGTGCGATCGGTTGATTGAGACGTGGGTCCGCCCCCCCGAGCCTCCTTGTTGCCCCAAGGGTGATGGTATAGATATGTGCACATGTATGTACACACCCTCCATCGTGCCATCAATAAGTACAGTGCAGCCATCGTGCTGCGCTGACCACGGAACGAAGATGCGTTTCTGACCACGGCGAGCCTCGGCCACGAATCGATCTCCTGCCATAAATCGAAGGAACGGCCAAAACAGCAGAGTGCCTCCTGCACCCGATGAGGTCCTTTGCTTCCAACGTTGCGAGCACGAGCGCCCCAGGGTGTGAGTGATGGAGGGAGTGTAAGAGTCGTAAGGCGTAGGTACACACGTTTGCCTGAGTTCGCGGCGCGTTCCAGCGTTTCCCTCGGAGGCCTCCGAGAGGCCGAACCCGCCCACACCCGCTCCAGCATCCCCCCATAGCTCCCCAAGCAACGCCGAGAGAGGCTCAGACAAGAACTCCTCCTCCTCCTCCTCCTCCTCCTCCTCCTCCTCCTCCTCCTCCTCTCCCAGTAGGCCCAAGACACAGTTCCAGCGCTCTCTTGAGGGCCTCTTGGGCCGTTCTGCAGGCCCTCGGGGCGGGTCCACGAGACCAAACTGATGTTTCAATCAAATGTGTGCTGCATGATGTTTCGCATGCTCGGTGCTTCAACCTTCAGAACGTCCAACACGGCTTCTGGACGGCCCATGAGCCCCCCGCAAAAGGGCCGAAGAGGACCACAGGAGGCCCCCAAGAGGAGAAACACGAACTGACATGTCGAGCCCTTTTCCCGCAAGATGGCTCCCAAGACCACCAGCGGCCCCCAAGAGGCCCCAAAGAGGACCCAAGAGATCACAAGAGACCTTCAAGACGCTCCAAGAGGCTCCCGACCCAAGAGGCCTCCGAGGGGCCCCAAAAAGGCTCCCAACGAGGCCCGGTGTCCACGACCCAGGCACGCTGCCTGGATGGGCAGAAGGCCACCAGTGAGTTTATACGCATCTGCGTATACAAGCTTACGTGTGAGTGTGCGTGTGTGTTTGTGTGTGTGTCTGTGTGTGTGTTTGCGTGTGTCTGTGTGTGAGTGTCTGTGTGTGAATGTGTGTGAATGTGATTGTGTGTGAATGTGTGTGCGTGCGTGCGTGCGTGCGTGCGTGCATGCTGTGTGTGCGTGTGTGTGTGTGTGTGTGTGCGTGCGTGCGTGCGTGCGTGCGTGCGTGCGTGCGTGCGTGCGTGCGTGCGTGAGTGCGCGAGTGCGCGCGGCGGGCGGGCGGGCGGTGTGAGGTGTGTGTGTGTGGTGTGCGTGCATGCGTGCGTGCGTGCGTGCGTG